CATGATCAACTCTTTTCCAAGCCTCCAAAGCATGGCGGGGTTGTTGCATGGTGGGTATAATTAATGCAATTAATATACACATTGAGATTCACTATTTACTATGCATACTTAGGCATCAGGACTATAGTTATTGGACACGGACTAAACCAATGAAACACTTAACTGTGAGTTATTGCTTAGTTCTGTTGCTATGGGTGTGGCTTGTTGCTATGTAGATACATATTGCTCTCGATGATCAGACCCCAGAAACAGGTGGATTACATTTTGTACCTGGATCACACAGGTGCATACATGATTGTCAAAAAAGAAAGAAAATAATTTTAATAATAATTTGATAATTATAGGTGGAGTAGAAATGGGAATCCATTACCAATCACTGATGCTACTTTTGGTGACATGGAGTCATTGAAAAAGGTTTGGATGTAGTTTTTGTACAGAGAGTTATGTAAGTTTTTAAACCTATAAGGTACTGACAGAAGAAGAGTTTGCTCAATTCAAACCAGTTCCTTCCGGTTTAAAGAGAGGACATGCTAGCTTCCATCATCCTTTAATGGTGCACGGATCATACGCTAACAAGTGAATTATTATTTTATTTTATAGACGTTGCATTCGTGACACTAAGTTGAATTAGTTGATACAATTTGACAAATTGTTATTATTTTATAATTGTAGGTCAGAGAGCCCAAGGAGAGCATGTGTTGTTAATTATATTGCTGACGGTGTTTGGTCTGATACTAATGAACCTTTGCTTAATGGGGTTCCTCTCATTGAAAAGGTAGTAATATGTATTTGCATTAATTTGAAGCTCTTTTTATAGGGTAATAAAATGGAAGGACAGTTTTTCCCACTTATTTTTGATCCAAAATGGGCAAGTCCTGCTTAAAGATTTAACAAAAGAACTATACGTGCTAATTATATTTTTGTTTATTAAAAATACGCGCTATTTTTATAATTAATTAATTAATGAACGGAAAGGCGCGGCTTGATATCGCATGATATGATATGATCTGATTTTATGATGCGGATGGGGCTATTACAGCAAGTTTTTCTTTTTTAATATGATAGCAGAACTCCATTACTTCAGAAGCCACCGAAATGGAAAAAATAATACTTTCAATTGCAATAAATGTATTCCTTCTTATGAACACTTATGGTAAGGCCTTAATTTACAATAACAACACCCTTTTATAATGTTTATAGTTTCAGGCAGTATCTTCAATATTGTACCAGTGACACAATATGTATATGTCAATGATACTGTGACATTTGAATGTGCTACTAATACAACTCAATTTGGTCTCTTTTTTGTGACTTATCCATCAGTTGTTGGTTCAGTTAAATCCTCTGGTAGAATGGTATCACTCACCCTAACAGCAACAAGTGAAGTAAATGATACAAAAGTTACCTGTAAGGCACCCAATGGAGCTATCACTGAACCAGCATATCTATATGTACAAGGTCAGTGTAATGATTAATAAAGTTATTCAAACATTCATTTAGCCTGCATTGTTGTTGTATAACTTATATATTATATAC